AAAAATATCGATAATATAATCGATAAAAATATCTATAAAAAAAAGATAAAAATATCGATAAAAAACGATAAAAACATCGGAAACAAAATCGATACAAAATATCAATACAATACAATAAAAATATCGATTATTATATCGATAAGTTCCGAGAATCCCGTAAATCTCTACAATCCCAAAATAGTTCCCAGATTGAGTCTCTGTGTCTCTATCTATTTCCTTTTTCTATAATTACCTTTATTTTAATCTTTCTTCCTCCAACTTTATCTTTACTTTTATCGGTATCCTCATCCTCATCATTTTCTTTATATTTGTCTTTGTTTTTACTTTTATGTTTATCAACTTAGCCCTTATATGGATAAGTAAAGTGTTTAAATTTACGTTGATCTTCATTTTTGCCTTTATCTTTACACATCTTTGTTTTTGTTTTTACCTTTGCCGTTATCCTTTTCTTTATCTATATACGTACTTATCTTTACTTTCATTTTTATATTTGTATTTTTCTTAGTATTATTCTTGCATGTGCATACACTCAAGAAACACTTGTGCAACTTCCGTGTGCAATTTCCGTTGAATTTGCCAATTTCACTTCAAAAATTTTAGTTCCATTTTCAATAAAATAAATAATTAGAACTTTTATATTCTAAACTAGTTGAAAACCCGGTTTATTCGATTGGAANCAACTTAACTGGGTTAAAATTTTAAATTAGGTGGCAACCCTCCTCAAAAATGTTTCCATCAGTAATCTTTCTTAAACCTCTTTAATTTGATACCCATATTGTAATAACTTATTCATTTTGTCAATATAATTGGGTTTGAAAATTTTCAAATAGGTGGCAACCCTCAAATTTTTTTCGGTATCATTGGTTCTGGTATTATACTGAACAGTACAAAAAAAAATTATTCAAATCGGTTCAGCCGTTCTCGAGTTTTGACGACCGTGACATACGAACACAACATTTTTATTAATATAGATTATATTTAGTTATTTAGTTTTCTTCTCTAACGTTACAACATTGTTTTGTGTTCTTGTTGCTTTCATTTTTCATAACTTTTCAAGAATTTTTTTTATTGTGGATCCGAAAGACGTCTCTAAATTCAGATTCTTTGTCCGGAGGCAAAAATACTCCTGGCTACGATTCTCCAAAGTGGACACGTTCGATCCTCGTGTTTTCCACGTGGAAGTTAAAGTCTGCCTGCTTAGAAAAATATCGCTTAATGTTCAGACATTTGATCTTCACGCCATCAGCTCTAAAATCCAAAGAACGAAATTAAAACCCACGCTTGAGTTGAGCCCTTTGACGGTCTGTCAAAAATTTGGAGATAAGCCTAACTTGAACTCTTATACCTCTGCATAACAGGCTGGCTCATATTAAAAAGAACTACTTCTCTGGCTGCTAGTTTTCAACCATAACAAAGTAGCGTTCAGAATCACTTCCCTACAAGACGCGAATGACTAAAACTCCAACACATTCACAAGTAAAATTAATACATATGCAAAAATGTATATGCCAGTCGAGTCGGGTAGAACAGTGACAATCATTTTACCTGCCATATGATTGACAATGCTGATAGAATAGGATTTTTTTTCGGTGACTATCATTTGACCGGTCATATGATTGTCACTGATGATGGAAAGGTTCACAAGAAAAGAAAATATGTATATCATTATAAATCACAATAAAAAAATCTAGAAGCGAAAGGACGCGGTCGAAAGTATTACCGAGAAAGTGCTAAGAAATAAACGATAAGTATTTAGAAAAAAAAATTAAAGTGTTTTATAATTAAACAAAAAATTTGAATAATGTTATGAGCAGAGAAAAGCTCATGTTGTTTAATATGACGTCGAAACCCATGAATTGTGATCAGTCATATTTGACCAACTTTTATAACAAGTATGATTTGTCAATACTGACCTAAGATCCCATCAAGCATGATTATTCATTTGTGACCAATGTTTATATCATTTATGATTCACATGTATACGATTTTTTCCATCAAATTTTGCACATTGCCCTTAATATTTTGATAGAAACTTTCATACAAAGTAATGACGAGTATTTCTGTCAGGATTGTCCGTCATTTTACCGGTCAAATGATTGTCACTGTTCTTGCAGGGANTTCTGTCAGGATTGTCCGTCATTTTACCGGCCAAATGATTGTCACTGTTCTTGCAGGGTTTTAATTTGGCAATTATCAAGATCACACTTCATAGTAAAAAATTAATAACAATTATGGTAATAAAAAGCAAACAAAATAAATTATAACAGATTAGGAGCTGATGTATTTAGTTTTAGAATATATGTAGCGAACTTAATAATCGCAAAGCAAACAGCTGTGACATGAATTACTAAAAGAAGTAAACAAAAAGAGGAAAAGAAATTTGCAAAAATAAAAACAATTTCAGTTAACTATGCCATGATGTATGCTAGTGAAATTTAATTAAATTTAATATAAAACACAAAACTTTCACTTAGCTTCGATTATTTTCACACTAAGATGCTTGCAGGCACTTTTTGTAACAACTTTAACTCAGAATTCGCACAATAAACTTTGCAAATAGAAAGACAAATCAGAGCACAATATAAGTTTAACCTCACAGCCTGACGTTTTCGAATCGATTATCCGCATTACTACCGTCTGTAAGGGTAAAATTATTATGCGCATATGTGTGCCAGATTATATGCATAAGCTTTGTCGTCAGTCACAGCTTTTAGACAAAGTCCCAACATATAAATCGTACATAGATATGAATAGGTATACATACATACATTAAAGGGAGTCGAAATCCTGTTTGTTTTCAAATTCGTTTTTAATAGAGCAATGGTATTTTTAATATGATTTAAATTCCAGATAAAGGAAAAAATGTAAATTAGTTACCAAAACATAAATACTTCAAACCATTGGCCTAATGCCTTTCGGGAAATGAATACCACTATTTTTTTTGTTTGCGTGCAGAATTTGTCCATTTAAAATGTCGAGCAGTTTTATCAAATAATGTCAAATTCAAGAACACATAGATACCTATGTGGCAAATATTACGAAAAGTCTGTTTGACTTCCAAAACGTCAATTGCATTGCATACGTTCAAAGTTTAATGTTCCATAACGCCGAACTGCAATTGGTTGACAATTACCACGTTTATATGATGCTTCAATTCGTTCTAAGTCAAACCATGTTATATCGACACACACATGTAAACACATTCTCTAATCGAATTGAAACTTTTAACCGTGCCACGATAAATCACATTTTGAATGCGAGTTAAGAGTTGTTGAATCGTGTTAAGAGTGCATATAAACACGGAATTTTACCACACGGTTGTTTCATGCAATGTATAAAGTAAACCATTTAAATAGTTCTTGAATAACATTTATGCTAAGCTTTGTTATAAAATTAAGAGCTAAGATAATTTTTACAAGGCTGTTTTACTCCTTGATTGTTATTTTTCACTGTTCATTATTTTCAAGAATTTACACATGTATTAACAGGGTTGCATCGGGATAAACTCTGTTTGAAAGTGTGTGCGATCGACTCATTTCTTGTGTTGCATATATACACTTACATTTCAAGCGAGCTACGCTGACACGTGTCAATTCAAAACCGGATTTAATGCTGTACATGTAAACAAGGTAAATGTATACTTTTTCAAAACGCATCCGAAAATTTATCGAAACGCATCGCTAGAGTAATCAGCGCAACAGAAACAAAGTTGATGCTATGTTTGTTTTTGGTTACCATTGGTGTTTTAAAAATGGAATATACCAAAATAGTGATCATTGTTTTATTAAATATTCAAAATATGCAATATTAATGGTTGCGTTGCAATGTTTCGCAACTCTGCATATACATACAAACAGGGTAAATCAGGGTTTGAAATTGCTTGACTATTTTCAATGCATTCGCAGTTGCTTAACTACGACTAACACAAATAAATCAGCAAAAGCGAAAAGGAAAAATGATCTCATTTGTTTCAGCTTATAGAGCTGTTTGTGTTTGCTTAGACAGTCAGCCGAAGCCACGATTGAGAGAAATAGAGGTTGCGCCGATCACGGTACCGCTATTCCTCTCTCAGTGAATTTGACAGAATCGTTGTTTGTATGACGTCAAACTTGTGCAACTTGTTCACGTTTTCCTTGCAACATTTTTTCTTCTTCTTCCATTCTTGCTCACGTTTATTGAATCATGAAGTTTGGTTTATTCTCATTTTTTGCTTTTGCTTTATTCCTTTCTGCGTAATTCTCGCAGTCGAAAGCAACTGTTTAAGCAAAATTTTAAAATTTAGCTGCGCATTACATCAGATATCGCTATGTACGTAAAAACATACATGCATATTTATGCATATGTGTATGAAAGTACTCGCGAGAATAACGAAGCGGGAGATAAGCTAAAGCAAGACTACCCATAACTTACTGCTTGCAGCAGCAGCAAATTCTTCTAAACTGGTTGCTTCGGCTGACTGTGGAAGCAAAAACAAACAGCAAATGATATCATTTTTCTTTTTCGCTTTTGCTGTCTGCTTTTGCATATTTATTAGTGTTAGTCGTAGCTAAGCAATTGCAAATGCATTGAAAATGATCAAGAGCTGCTTGCTTTAAAAAGCTAAAAAGTGTTGCTTATGCTATTTTGCAGTCAGCAATTCAAACCTTGGTTGAAATACAGCAGTAGAACAGTATCCAAACATTGTATTGGTACGTTTTCGAAGTTAGCCTCTATCTTTCGAAAGAAAATTAATTAAAATGAAGGCATTGTAATTACAAGTAATGATCCAGGCATGTTTCTGTAAGAATTACAGAGTACTTCTCTACTAAGCCTGAGGCTGCTCTTTTAAAGTTGTTGTGATAATTCTATAGTAATATTCACCAAAATGGAGCAAGTGGTCTAGCACTATGGCGAAAGGGTAGATAAGCTCAAGCAATGACCGTTGTCAACACTTGCCACTTGCTCACTTTGGTGAATACTACTTATATAAAATATACATATGTATGCTAATATCAACTTACTGTGGATGTTCCGTTTTTACCGTACATTAGCCCAAATTCTTCATATGGTAGCTTTTGTTCTTTTGGAACAACGTCTTTAGCCAATTTAAGAAGAGGGTCTTCATAGCCCCATAGTAATTGTCCAACAGAGACTTGCACAAAAGGTTTAATTTTTAAAATATCCATTATACTGGCCATTGCTAGTCGCAAAAATCTAAAATATAAATTAAGGAAAGTTATACTTTTTTATTATAATACCGTGCGACAAAACCCAAAAAATTTCGAAACACACGAAACAATCAATATACTAACAAAACCATGGACCAAATATTGTAAAATTTTTTAATTCCACAGAATTTTCTCTTATGTTTGAAACCCATATATGTAATACTCCTATATTGGCAGTAAGAGCTAGTACCGTCCAAAAACACTACAATACAGATATATCAATAAACACGTACGAAAGAAAAGGAACACATACCTTTATAAATAAACATGTACACAACACATACACAAAAACGGCACTCAAGTACATAATACATTGACAAAAACAGTACTAGACTGTCTCGCTTTGATTTCGGAATGCTTACACATTGAGAAGTTAGTTTACTGCCAATGTAGAAGTATTAGAAAGTCCTGATTTCGAAATGAGTGGTAATATCCAACTAGGTAGTTGACTCGATTCTAAACATTTCTATTAATAGGTTTAAGGAATTTTTCCTGAGAGAAACTATTACAGCAATTATCAAAGGACACCGGAAGTTGGCGTTTGATGAGTAGGATTTTTACGTAAGTATTTGAAGACGCATTTCACAGGATCAGCAATGGTAGTTTAATGATCGATCAAAACTCGATTTGTCGTCATCTTTAATATTAAGCTGAATAGCACGCAAGGTAAATTAGGTTCTCATAATTTTCTTAGTCGTTACAGAGTTAAGGACATTTCTGTAATACTATGCATTTTTAGTGTTTTTCTTAAGGGACAAGTACCTTGCGGCGCCGTGCGGTGGAGGGTGATTCGTGCAAAAATACTTCGTGCACTTTAAACTAATAGAAAAACCAATTTTAGTTGCGTTCACTTGCGTCCATGTCATTAATCTTCCATAGACTGAACGCTTAACATTGGCAGATCCCTATAAAAGTTGCAGGAAAAAGTTGCTGAAATTCGCTGTTTGAAACACTTTCACTAAGGAAAGAAAAGGTACGAAAACTGGTGAAAATTGGCGAACTGCCACGCCTACTACACAAGGGGGCGGATATGGTAACTGTAATCGGATTTCAATGAAACTTGGTTTGTAACTTGGATTAATCTAGGAAGACGTAAATCTGAGATATGGTAAACCTAGGTCGACTGCCTCGCCCACCAGCCATACGAATTCTGAATTCTAATGTGGCAAGGACTAGTAACGATCCACCAAAATACCAAAAATTTCGTGCAAGATCAACTTTTGCATGAAAATGCAGAATGATTAAAAATAGTGCGTGTTGGCGACCAGCCACGCCCCTCTCACTAGTATTTCGATATATAAAGGGAGTGTGGCATCTCCCATACAAATCGAATTTTTCATACCTTATATCTCTGGAAGTATAAGTGGAAGAGTCCTGGAACTTGGTATGGAGATATTTGAAATCAATCCCGTACTCATAGAAAAAATGGGGGTTATTGGAAAATGGGGCGTGGCGACTTCCAAACAAAGGTCAACAAAAATAGAAAGAAAAACAAAATGGTTGTGGCAAATATTAAAGCGGTTTTTAATAGACCTTTTTGTGCTGATTACGAATCCGTAAGAAAACGCGATTTTTTGACACTTTGACCAGGTTTTACTCAAAATCTGGAGCTGAGGGGAACTTTATGCCTACGGATTCATAATCAGCACAAAAAAAGTCTATCAAAACGTTTGGCGCTTCAAAATCAGTTTTGCCCGGTGTAATTCTTCGGAATGTGTGTTTGTGAGTGGAGTCGCCCTAAACGACCGAAACGATTGTGATGAAATTTTTTTTATGTATAACTTAAAACGCAAGGAGTCGAGTTGTTACTAAAAATCTTATTAATTATCCGATTTGGATCATATTCGATATATATAGTGTATTGGTAACGCTAGGGGCTAAAACGAGCTGCAAGGTGAAACAAGTCTATGTATATTGAATTTGTGTTGACCAATACTTCTCTTTTTGAATTTGCCACCAACTGTATTGTAAATATTCAGGGACGATTCAACATCGAACCGGATCATTGTTGCCGCAAAAACTTCTTCACGGCATAACGCTTTCGTTAGGTTATTTAAGACGGCAACGGAGGATATGCCTTCTGACGGCCACAAAACCAAACGTAAACGTGAATTATAGGTGAAAACGTTGGACCAAATGTTCCAATAAAAAATTAATTTTGGGTGGGACGAAGTTCGCCGGGTGTGCTAGTTTATTTAATAAGTCTATAGTAAATTTTATCCTTACAGACTATTACATTAATTACAGGGACGCCAATAAAGGCACCATTGGATGTACCATTAGATATCCTATAATACGCTTCGTTAGGATATTAGTGGAATTCGCGCTTCTGTGTATTCGCTGTATCCTGCGTAACTGCAACTGGACGAGCGTGTGGTGGTTGTTGCATATATATTTGATGTACCGCTAGCAACAACAAATCACACGCTCATGTAGTTACAATTACACAACATACAACGAATACACAGAAGAGCGAATTCCGCTATTTTATTATTGAATATATCTTGCCGTTAGAGCAACAGATCTAACCGAATTAACAACAGTTCGGACTGTTCTACACCGAAACGCGGGCGCGAACACGGATACATTATATTAGCCTCATAAACTAAACAGCTACGGCTACATATTACCATTATTTATTTAAAACGCTGAGTAAAGTTTTCATAATTATAAAAGGCGAGTAGGAGCTATCAAAATATTCGTAATGCTTATTAAAGTCGTGTCATAGCAATGAAAAGCATTATGCATTTCAAAGCTTGTCCTACAAATTGCTTAGCGAAATAGGCTTATAATGTCTTGACGGCCTTATAGGAATACAAAAGTTGATCTCGTTCGGTAAAAACGGGACTACTCACTAGCCCATTCAGAAGTTTTATACGAACTAGCAGACCCGGCGAACTTCGTCCCGTCCTAAATTAATTTTTTTATTAAAACATTTGGTCCAACGATTTCACCAACAATTTACGTTCACGTTTGGCTTTGTGGTTGTCGGAAAGCATATCCTTTATTGCCATCTAAAATAACCTAATGAAAGCATTATCTGAAGAATCTCTTGCAGCAACAATGATCCAGTTCGATGGTGAATTGTCCTTGAATCTGTAGAGTACAGTTGTTGGCAATTACAAAATTGGGGAGTATCATTGGTTCTCAGAAACCAAATATCCATACACTTATTTCAGACGAAATAACCTAAATATCTTACAGTTGTATTTGTAGATATTTATCAAGACTTGTCTTTATTCGGTTTAGTCGTCGTTTAGCAAGGGTCGCAATGGTTTGTGGTTGATATAGCGGTGGTAATTTGACTGGTGTCTCCGAGTGACTTCGCTTGATAATTTTTAACAATAACTCGACTCCAGTGCCACCTTGCAGCACGTACCGAAGAATTATATGTATTTACAGATATGTAAAGGTTTCAGTATGTTTGGAAGGCGCCACGCCCCCTTCTCCATGATATGGGATATGGGGCTCTACCACAAATACTTCCAGAGATATACGGTAGGAAAATTTCCATTTGAATGGAAGTTGCCACACTCCCCTGATATGTACATCGACATTATTATAAGCCTCTGACCATCCTTAGAAAATCTGCAGTATGTGTTCAAAATTTCAACAATCGGTATTAAGCTACCTACTTGCCAAATTTCAAGCAAATCGGGCAATAACGAAGATTGTTTCGAATGGAGCGGTCCCTGGTCCACCTATTTATCAGAAAGAAATTCTTTATGTTAATCCAGGCAAATTGGTATCTATTCCTCTTCTTCTTCTTTTTTGGCCCTGTAACCGCCTAAGCGATTTTGGCCGAGTTCAGCAAAGCACGCCAGTCGTGTCTCCTCTGTGCCAACTGACACCAACGGGAAACGCCAAGTGAAGCGAAGTCCTTCTCCACCTGATCTTTCCATCGCAGTGGGGGCCTCCCTCTTTCTCTGCTACCACCAGCGGGTTCCGAGTTGAATACTTTCAGAGCTGGAGCGTCGGTGTCCATTCGAACGACATGACCAAGCCGGAGGCCGAAGCCGCTGTATTTTAATTCGCTACACTATGTCCATATCGTTGTTAAGCTCATACAGCTCATCGTTCCATCGTCTGCGGTACTCGCAAAATCTTTCTCTCAAACACTCCAAGAGCTGCCTAATCGGATGTTGTCATTGTCCATGCTTCTGGGCCATATACCAGCACGGGCANGCCGAAGCCGCTGTATTTTAATTCGCTACACTATGTCCATATCGTTGTTAAGCTCATACAGCTCATCGTTCCATCGTCTGCGGTACTCGCAAAATCTTTCTCTCAAACACTCCAAGAGCTGCCTAATCGGATGTTGTCATTGTCCATGCTTCTGGGCCATATACCAGCACGGGCATGATGAGTGACTTATAGTGCGTGGTTTTCGTACGTCGAGAGAGGCCTTTACTCGTGAATTGCCTACTCACTCCAAAGTAGCACTTGTTGGCAAGAGTGATTCTGCGTTGGATTTCAATGCTGACATTATTATCGGTGTTAATGCTGGTTCCCAAGTAAACGAAATTCTCTACTTTCTCGAAATTGTAACTGTCAACAGTGACGTGGGTGCCAAGGCGCGAATGTGCTGACTGTTTGTTTGATGACAGGAGATACTTCGT